CCACCCGCCCCCAACCGCCCCGGACTTTTTTTTTTTTTTTTGTTTTTTTTTTTTTTTGTTTTTTTTTTTGTTTTTTTGCTTTGCCGTTCTGGCCGTCCCCGTTTTTTTTTTGATTGGGGCGGCCAAAAAGCCAGAGCCGGCCCTGATACCAAGGAACTAGCCAAAGCAATCCAAAGATTTAGCGTGAATTTGCAAACTTCTGCTGGCCAAGTCCTAGGTCTGTCTATACTTGACACAAACCTCATCTATAAAACAGTGTCCAGCCAGCTTAAAAAAACTGTATCGTGGGCATTACTCATGGATGTCATTTAAGCCACAGCAGATGCAACACTGGAAAAAATTAGTTTAAGTTTTCAAGAGACCAACAATACATAACTTACATTTTATGAAGTGGATGCTTTTTATTCAGATTATGAAGTATTTCTGAAGAACATGAGACAATAGACCACCCTAGGAATGAATTCCAATAAGAGCCTTTATCCTAACAGAACACCACCCAAGCAAAATCTGACCGGCCTTTTTCATCCTAGCTTTAAACCTTATAAATCTTTTGTGGTTGAAGCAGAGAGGACTATATGCTGGATAAGAGTATTAGTAAGTCCTCCATCCCAACACATGGAATCAGTCTTGCTCATAGTCATACCGAGAATTGCACATTACACAGGTGCTATCCCATATAGTGTGTTCCTGAAAGTACATTTGTGGAGACACAAATCTCAGTGTGTTAAAAAGAAGGAAATTAAAGAGGGGGGGGAAGAGGGTGGGAAAGCATAACACACACACTTTCCCTTTAGCTGAGGATCTGTGTTTTATTATAACAGGCAGGCACATCAGGCCTGACTTTCAGAGGTATTAGACCAGGGTTTCTCAAACAGGGGGTCGCAAGCTATCAGTCTCCACCCAAACCCCTCTTTGCCTCCAGCATTTATAATGGTGTTAAATATATAAAAAAGTGTTTTTAATTTATAAGGTGGGGTCACACTCAGAGGCTTGCTATGTGAAAGGGGTCACCAGTACAAAACTTTGAGAACCACTGTATTAGACATTCACAACTCCTGGTGAAATCAACATGAAACTGCACATGTTCAGTACCTTTGAAAAATCAGGCCCATAGTAACCAGACATTGGGAATGTTACTTTTCATTTTCCAAAAGTGCTACTGATTTTGAGTGCCTCAGCTGAGGATGACCAACTGAAGATACCTTGGGCCTGATTTTCAGAAGTGTTATTCACAGCTCCTATTACCTTCAATTGGCATTATGGATGGTACCACCGCACTTCCAAAAATCTGGAACTCCTTTGGGGCCCATTGAATTAAATAAATAAAAAAGAATAAAAAAAAGCCAAAGTGGTTGCATTTCAAAGTTTTGTCCTTAATCTTTCTCAAAAGTGTCTGAACGTGCTCTTCTTTGAGACTAGCTTATTTTTTGCTTCTCAAAAGACACGACCATTGGTTTTCTAATTATTCTCCTTGAAGTACAAAAAGTATCCAAACTGTATAGTGCCTTCTTAGAACAATGTGGGTAACTCTGTATCACTCACAGGTTTTGAATCATTCTGTATTGTACATTTATATGCAAGAGCTGCACCTTAGCTTTCCACTATCCTGATGTACACTTCTCTCTTCTTCTCTATTCTGTACTTGCCTCTCTTTTGCATAGTTCTCAAAAAGGAAATCTTTGAGCATGGTAGCAGGCCCTTAAGTGAAATGGGATCCAATACTCCTATTCCAGTCTGAGGAGGGTGTGGCTGCCATGGGAGTTAGAAATGAGAGACAGCCCAAAGATAAGGAGGAGTTCAGAACCCACAGAAGGAGCTTGAGCACAAGCTCACTAAGAAAAGCAGAACGGAATTGAGGGCTTCCTTGAAGGAGGGAGCAGTAAGAACTCCCTAGTGAGCAGTGGAGCCAGATCAGGCCACTTAAAGCAGAAGACAGGAGAACAGTCAGGATGGGTCTCCTACAAACTTCCCCAGGCCAAAGAAAGCTGAAGGCTGAGAGCAGCAGCAGGAGATGCCTGTTGGCTCTCGGAGTTACAGAGCTGAAGCTGGAGGGCCAGAGAAGGCTACAGTCTGGGGAATGATAAAGGGGTGAACCATGGGAGAGCTATAGCCAGGCCTGGAAAAAAAATAAGGTGGAGAAGCACCCCAGCTACAGTGGCCGGGGTGAAGCACAGTGAGAGACGCTGGAGCTGTAGGGAGCAATGCTGAAGCTATATTGGGCGTGTTGGGACTTGAAAAATTGAATGTACTGCTGGGACTGTACTAGGGATATCTGCACCAAACCACCAACACAACTGAACAGGTGAAAGAGGCAACAGAGTGGCACAAACTGATAGCAGGCACTGGGTGCCTGGTACCATTTTTACCATGTGAACCATATAGAGCCATGTGTGAACAGAAGACTCGTTGGTAGAACCATTTCAGCTGCAGGCTGGTAAGAGCAACCACTGCACCCATTGAGTCAAATAACCACACAGTGTCCCATGAATAGGGTGACCAGATGTCCAGTTTTTAAAGGACAATCCCATATTTAAGCCCTCCTGCAGCAGGGCCGGATTAACCTTTTGTGGGCCCAGTGCCAAACATATCTGTGTGCCCCCATGGCAGCAATGGAGCATGGCGCAGGGGGTTCAGTCCCCGGAACGAGGGGCCAGCCAGGGGCAATGGGGCATGGCATGGCAGGGGCGGACCCGCTTCGCCCAGCCCAGTGCGAGGGCACTATTTACAAACCGGCAGTTGCCAGACGCACAATGGCCCGCCTGGCTCTGTGCTGCCAGCATGCCCCTTCCCCTCGGGGGTGGGTCCGTGTGGTGCCACACAGCCCTCCTGCCCAACACCAGAACACACACACCCCGATTCCCTACGGCCAGAGCCCCTCCAGACCCACTGTGCCCAGCCCCCCCCCCAACCCTGCCACAAATGCACAGTGCCCTGCATAACACCATAACTGCCCAGCACCCCACACAGAACCCCCATTCCCTAGTGCCCCAACACACAGAGACCTTCCCTGCCCCCTCACAGCCCAGCATCCCCCCCCCAGGCCCTCCAGAGGCCCACTCCCCCACACCCTGCCTCCTGGCCTCAATCACTGGCCCCGCTGGGAGGCGACTGTGTCTGCCAGGCTGAGCCACCTCCGTCCTGGGGCAGGGAATCAGTCCGGCCCCTTGGGAGTGGTGCGATCAGCCAGGCCAGGGCCTGCCCCACCCGGGCTCCCTCAGGACCCACTTGCCTGGAAGGGCCCAGCCAAGCCACCCACATTGTTCCCCCCACCCCAACTGGCTGAGACTGGCCAGGCTTCTGCATCAGTCCCAGGCGGCTCAGCTCCAGGGAGACAGGTGGGGCCCCACTGGCGGTGGGAAACAGAGACTGCCTGGAGCCAGAGGTGCATTGCGGTCTGGCCAGCAGGGAGAGAGAAGCCAGCAAGTTAAACCAGGGGAGTGGAGAGGAGCCATCGGCTGGCTGGTGGGCAGGCCGGGAGGAGCAAGTGGTGGGCGGGTGCGGGGGGAAGCCAGCGGGGTCTCGGGGTGCAGTGCAAGCAGAGCAGGCCGGGGCCCTTTCTGGGCATGGGCCTGGCTCCATGGCGCCATTGTAAACCCAGCACTGTCCTGCAGCTGTCCCGACTTTTTCTTATAAACAGGAAAACTTTCCACTATTTTCTGTCTCCTCTCCACCCGTATCTGTACTGGCCGGAACCCTGCTTGCCAGCCACCTGGGGTGAGTAGGGGGGTTCTGTGGCCGACGATGGGAGTGAGTGTGCAAGGCTGGTGGCGCGGCAAAGATGCAGTGTGCAGGGCCAGTCGCTCCCCCTGCTGGTCCGTGAGCGCAGCCCCCGCTGCCTGAGGGTTGTCGGCCAGCAGGGCCCCGCCCCCTGTCCCGTTTCCAGCTGGCACTGGCTGCAGGCTGTGAGCTGTGCGGGCTGGTGAGCGCAGGCAGGCGCTAGGCGGCGGTCAGTTACGTGTCGCCTCTGCTGCCCACCCATCGGCCCTTTACGTACCCCCTCTCTCGCTGTCTTTTTAACCGGGGCGCAATCAACTTGATGTTAATTTGAACATTTGTACTGCTGCAATGTTCAATTCCCATTGAACTCGCTTGAAAAGGAGTAATTTTAACGGGTGCCGGGGGTGGCTGAGCAGAGCCCTAAGTGCCTGGCCCAGTTGCACAGAGACCCGTGGAGGAGCCATAGGAAGGATGGGGTGCAAAGGACTCTCTGCAGCACTAATGCCCCCCCAGGCTGGCAGACAGTGTCCCCTGCCCCAGCCACACTAAGAAAGCACAGACAAGGAGCAGGGCAGCAGCTGTGCGCCCACGCAGCCCTGGGAAGGGGGGGTCCCCTAGCGCCAATGCAGGCACCCCTGGTGGCTCTGTACGTCACGGGAAGGCTGCGGGCCCAGTGGCACAGGCCAGCGACGACCCAGGGGCCCCAGGAGTCGTACAGGCCGGCCAGGCCCCGCGCTGGCCTCTGCAGCAGCAGCCCGGCCTCCGCCCCCCCGCAAGCAGCAGCGGGAGAGAGAAGCGGCTCACGCACCTTCCCCGCGCAGACCCGCCGGTCCCAGAGCCCCGCGGCGGCGCAGCCTGACGCCCTGGCTCGGACAGGAGCCTGCAGCTGCAGGCGGCATCACCTACGCGGCAGATCAAAGGGCGGCGGGACTGAGCCACTCGGCGCTGCTAGAGCTTCCCGCGCGGCGCTGCCCCATCCGGCCGAGCTCAGAGCCTGGCCCGCCCTGAGCGCCAGGCTCAGCCGCTGCGAGTCCCGCCGGGGGAGGCCGGCAGACCCTGGCCGGCCGCTAGAACCGACGCTAACGGAGGGTGACGAGCGAAGTCGCCTTCTCCTCCCTGTGGAGGACCCGCAGCTAGGTCCAGCTCGGCCGCCTCTCCTTCGGGGCCTGGCCCACACGGCCGGGCCCGGGGAGCAGGCTCCTCACAAGCCCCGCTGCTTGCCGCCACCACCACCCCGGCTTCTTGCCGCAGGCTGCTGCCCTTCCAATTGCTGAGCCCTGGCACCTCTTTCATTCCAAATTAAGCACTGGTCATCAGTCACATTCTCTGCTGGTGCCCTGCCACTGACTCCTGTGGAGATCACCAGGAGCATGGGCAATGGGTACCACTGGCTTCCCCTCACCCATGCCGTGGCCCCGCCCATGTTGCGCCCTGAGGCCGTGCCCTCCCTACCCCTGTACCAGAAGCCGGTGGGGGCTCAGCTCCAGCTGGCAGCCATGAGCTCGGGCCACCGGTGCTGGTGATAGGGGGTCCAGCTGGCGGCTGAGTCCGGCCCAGCACTTGGGGGGGCAGCAGCCGAGCATTGGGCTGAGGGGGGTGGCCCCAGGGCCGATGCTACCATTAAGGCAAACTAGGCGGTTGCCTAGGGCACCAAGATTTGGGGGTGCCAAAAAGCAGTGACCCCTAATTTTTTTTTACAGCGTTCCTATGCCCCCTTCCTGAGCGCGCGGTTGCTGCTCCACTTCTCCCGCCTCCCAGGCTTGCGGCGCCAATCAGCTGTTTGGTGCCGCAAGCATGGGAGGGGAGGAGAATTAGAGCGGGGCGGCATGCTCGGGGAGGAGGCAGAGCAGAGGTGCGCTGGGGTGGGGAGCTGCTGTGGGGGCACCTCAGGGCAGGGGGGGAAGGGGAGCTGCCGCAGAGCTGGAGGGGGGGGGGATGCAAGGTGGAAGTTTCGCCTAGGGTGCGAAACTTCCTTGCACCGGCCCTGGGTGGCCGGCGCTGGGGCTAGCCTGATGTTCGGAGGGCCAGCGGCTCGGCCTGGTGCTAGGGCCAGCCTGGCACTCGGGGCTCTGGTGGGCAGGACCTCCCCAAAGTGGGAGTTCACCCACTGCCCATGCCAGGAGGGAATTTAGCCTTTGAAATATGATTTTATTTCCTGGGTTGTTACAGATTCTAAGGCCAGACCATTGTGATCAGCTAGTCTGACCTCCTGCATTACACAAGGCTGCAGCCCTTCCTTGATTGTAAACTGGCCCCTGATGGAGAGTGCACCACAACCCTTGGTGATTTGTTCCAATGGTTAATTACCCTTACTGTTAAAAATGTCTACCTTATTTATTACTGGATGAAGGGAATTGCTGGAATGGCCTATTTTAATAATTGTCATTTTGAAATGTCAGTGAACACCTCCATCAACCGAGAGATGCTCCTTTTAATGGAACGAGCAGGTATGTCAGAAGAAGTTACATCAGAATTCCCTATGTAATAAGCTCCTCTTCATTCATATCCTTCTTGCAAAATATTTCAGTAATAATAATAGAATATAAGTGGTTGATTGTTGCAAGGTTCTCTGAACAGTCTTTGCATTAGTTCTCTCTGACAACTATGATGTATAGCCACCGTTCATTATGCTATGGCCTAGTGTACACAAAGTTGCATTGGTTTAACTAAATGTGTGTGTTTTTAAACAGATTTGCTTAAACTGATGCAATTTATGTGTTTAGACCAGTGGATCTTAACCAGGGGTTCGTGCACCTTTGGGGGTTTACAGAGGTCTTCCTAGCGATACATCAACTCATCTAGATATTTGCCTAGTTTTACAACTACGTAAAAAGCACTAGTGAAGTCAGTACAAACTAAAATTTCATACAATGACTTGTTTGTACTGCTCTATATACTATACACCGAAATGTAAGTACAATGTTTATATTCCAATTGATTTATCATATAATTATATGGTAAAAATGAGAAAGTAAGCAATTTTTCAGTAATAGTGTGCTGTGACATTTTGAATTTGTCTGATTTTGTAAACAAGTAATTTTTGTAACTTGGGGGTATTCAAGACAAATCAGACTACTGAAAGGGAAACAGTAGTCTGAGAGCCACTGATGTAGACAAGGTCTTAGAAGACAAACCTAGGCCTTGATCCTGCAAATACTTAGGCATGTGTTTAAGCATGAGTAGGCCCAGTGTAATCATTGGGACTACCCACATGCTTAACGATAAGCACACGCCCAAGTGTTTGTAGGACCAGAGCCTTAGTATGCAATTTTGTGATAGTCCAATACATAACGGTGAAGAATTACCCTCTACCATCCAATATGATTCCCATAAATTGTATCATCTAGTTGGAATGGAAATAATGCTGATGAGCCTCACTGAAGTGTGTTTTAAGGAGAGATTTGAAAGAGAAGGTAGTACTATAAAAAGTCATTCCATCTCTGCCAGACTGGCCCCTCCACCTGCTTATTTTGTTTGTATCTTTCAATATGTTAAGTTGCGTCTTCCTCAATATATGGAAAATTGCACATAAACAGCATACATTAATACATCTCCCACATTTAAACTGTCAGTTTTTGAAACCTCTGTTTAGGCATAGGAAGTAACTGTTTTAATAAAAATGTTACAAAACTAACCTGTTGTCATGACTGTCTGTCTTGTTTGTTTCCTGTGGTTTCTGAGTATTCATTGCATATCCTTCCCCAAGAAGTTGTGTGTCACACATTGCTGCTGGTTTGGTGTCTCTTAGTGGTGAGTATAGATAGTGATTAATGAGATCATAAATGTCTTATTGCAACTCAAACAACAAAATATTATCTCTGAGAGTGACTGTGGCACAAACAGCACTTTAAAATTAACTGCCAGTGAATGATTCCCTTCTTTCCTTCCAATTAAAGATGAGATATGGGGCAGGTCTGCCTGAGGGATTTTATGTATGCAGTGTTGTTGTAGCCCTGTCGGTCCCAGGATATTAGAGAGACACGGTGGGTGAGGTAATATCTTTTATTGGACCAACTTCTTTTGGTGAGACAATCTTTTGAGCTACACATAGCTCTTCTTCAGGTCTGGGAAATGTACTCAGAGTCTCACAGCTAACTACAAAGTAGAACAGATTGTTTAGCATAAGTAGTTGACTCCTCATTGTTTTTGAAATATGTCTTCTTGTGGCACTTTAGAGACTAACACATTTATTTGGGCATAAGCTTTCCTGGCTAAAACCCACTTCATCAGATGCATGGAATGGAACATACAGTAGGAAGGTATAAATACACAGCATTTGAAAAGATGGGAGTTGCCTTACCAAGTTGGGAGGGAGGATCAGTGCTAACAAGCCAATTCAATGAAGTTGAAAGTAGGCCATTCTCAGCAGTTGACTGGGAGTGGAAAATCACTTTTGTAGTGTTAATGAGGCTAATGTAAACAAGTTGGCGCATTTTAAACAGTTGACAAGAAGGTGTGAGTATTTAGCAAGGGAAAATTAGTTTTTGTAAGAACAACAAGGAGTACTTGTGGAACCTGAGAGACTAACAAATTGATTTAGTTTTTGTAGTGACCCATCCACTCCCAGTCTTTATTCAGGCCTAATTTGATGGTGTCCAGTTTCCAAATTAATTCCAGTTCTGCAGTTTCTCTTTAGAGTATGTTTTTGAAGTTTTTTTGTGTGGAAGAATTGCCACTTTTAAGTCTGTTATTGAGTGACCAGGGAGATTGAAGTGTTCTCCTACTGGTTTTTGAAAGTTATAATTCCTGATGTCAGAATTGTGTTCCTTTATTCTTTTGTGTATTTATACCTCCCTACTGTATGTTCCACTCCATGCATCTGATGAAGTGGGTTTTAGCCCATGAAAGCTTATGCCCAAATAAATTTGTTAGTCTCTAAAGTGCCACAAGGACACCTCGTTGTTTTTGCTGCTACAGACTAACACAGCTACTACTCTGAAACCTGTCACATATTTCAAAGGACCATTTAAGATGAAATGGTGATCTATTGGAGATCAGGATGAGAGTAATATGGGGAAAGATTCCACATCCACCTACTGAAGGGTTCTTACGCCTTCCTTTGAAGAAGCATTTGGTGCTGGACACCATCAGAGACAGAGTATTGGACTAGATGAACCTTACCTCTGATTCAGGCTGGCAATTCCTATGTTCCTTAATCTCTCAGTGCCACAGATCTCCATGTCTAAAATGCAGCCGATGATACTTCCTTTTTTCTACCCTTTGTCTGCCTCGTCTATTTAAATTGTAAGCTCACTGAGGTAGGGACTGTCTCTTACTATGTGTATTTTGTGTTGCTTACCACAGTGGAGCTCTGGTTCTGGTTGGAGCTTCCAAGGTGCTACTGGGGAATACAAATAATTAAGAATAAAGCACTGGCATTCCCTATACAGCATTTTTTGTAGTGCTCAAAGTATCAATGGAAAAAAAGCATGTGAAGATTCCCTAGAATCTGCCAGGAGAGGTCTGAAGATGTAGGGGTGGGGCATGTTTAAAGTAAGAGTAAGCAGTATAGGCTTGGACAGATTTCCCATGTGCCAGCTATCCCTGCTTAGAAAGATAATCCCTATTTTTTAATAAATTATTTACTATTTATTCCATTGTCTCTCCAAAAGTTCCCCTGGGTTCAATGTATTTCAATGGCATTAAAAGATGTTTCTCTGTTTTCCTCTTCAAAGGTCTCTATATAAGATTTCCTACGGTTGGCAGATACTTGTGTGTATATATAGACAGACCAATACGTAACTGAGCTTTCAGATTTTATTTCCTTCCTTCAGTCATTGCAGTTTCAATTCGGTCAGAAGAGAGAAATGTTCTAAAGTTCCCAACAAATGCTGGCATTCAGCTACTACTGGAATTTAAAGAAAGCGCTGGAGCTCTGCCCTTGCTTGCTTAAGGCCTTGTGCTTCCTTCCCTTTATGCAACACCATGGAGAACACACGTCCTAATAGTGCACAAGATTGATGCAAAGGGGGGCAGAAGGGAACTATGAAAGAAAGCAGCAGATATATGGTAAAATTTACCCTATCTCATAACCACCTCCAGCCCCTCCACAGGTATACACAGGAGTTCATTTTACACATCTAAGGGAGGTTTGGGAGGGGGTATGAGTTGTGGAAACAGCTGCTCAGTATGGGGTGTTTGCCTGGGAGTCACAAGTCACTGACAGTGTGATTTCCCTTGT